TGTCATTGATCTTCCCAAGTTTGGGGGCACTTTTGAGGATAAAGGAGGGGGCGCCTTTAATTACACCAGTGGGTGCTCCTGGGGAAATGAGTCACCCTTGTGTCAGCAACGGCATTGCTGTTGAAACTGCAGGGCTGAAGCCCTATATGACTAAGATCCCAGGACTCCTGGGGAGACCGGAAACACTGGGGTTACCTTCGAAAGGCTGGGGTGCCAGGGGCGCTCATTCGTTTCCTAATCAGGGCCCACTAGTCAATGAGACAAAGCGCCCTAGTCCCCAGAGCGCAGCCCCGCCGCAGGCCCACCTCCCTCCGCGGGGGGCTCTGCACGCACCCACCTCACCTCCCCCCACAGGCTCTGCCCCTCGTAGTAATTCCTGGCAACTCCCTGCCCCCCCCCCCTTTCACCTCCAGGCACAGGATTCGCTTCGCCCCCTCCCACCCGGGTTCTCCAACGAGCACCTGCTTCATTGGAGGACACAGAGAGGAGGCAGCACGGCCGCCGAGGACCCGTCGTGCCGGGCAGTTGTCTCAAAGAGCTGTTGGGTGATTTAATAAGATGAGTATTTTACTGCCTTGACTCCTCTTTAAATATACACCGTTTGAATGGATCCATTTGTTGTAAATATCAAGGCATTGTATTTAAGACTTCAGATTTCAAGGGGGGAAAAAAGTTCTCTGCCATTTTTCTTTTCAGGGAGATTTATGGAATGTTTATTTTGGAGAAATTCAGGAAAACTGCTTAATATGGAAGCCATTTGATTAATTTTTCTGATTTAAGTGGTCATTATTTTCAGACAAAAGGAAAGGCCCGCGCGGCTGCGGATCCGGGGCGTGGGGAGTCGGGGTGATGTTGGAGCGACCTCTCCACCGCCTTCTCCCCCCCTCGATTCTGGGCGGGAGTGGGGTTTCCAGCTGCCGGAAGGCTCCCAGACGCCCCCCTTCTAGGTCCGCAAGCTCCCAAACTGCCTGGAAGGGGAGGGAGCGCGTGGAGAAGGGTCCTGGAGGGAGGAAGTGTAGGATTTTAGACTTTGGGAATCCGCGCAAGCCAAGTTCGCGGACTTTCGACTACGAGGGACGGGGGCCCCTGTGCCTCAAATGCAGTTCTATTGGGGGGGTGAGCGGGGGACAAAATCTGGTCGCCGCTCGGCCCAGGAGCTGGGAAAAGCGGGAGCTGTTATTGGGGGACCGCGGCGGTGGGGCACCAGACCGGCTCCACCAGTCCCAAGCCTGGGCTTGGAGGGGAATTCCTTGCAGTTGAGTCGCTCCCCGGGGTGTGTCTGGCGGGACTGGGCGGACGGGTCCGGAGGTGCAGCTGCCCCGGGAGGAGGGTCGGGTGGGAGCACGGGTCAGGGCCGCTATGCTCGCGGGCTGGCAGACGGGGGTGCCTTCTGGAACTTGCACCAGGTGAGCGGCAAGCTGCGGGGAGCTGGTTCTGGGCTCCGACCAGGGCTCCAGAAAGTGGGGCTTCGTTCCCTTGCAGTGGTTCTCAGCCTTCTGGCCCTTTAAATACAGTTCCTCGTGTTGTGACCCAACCATAAAATTATTTTCGTTGCTTCTTCATAACTGTCATGTTGCTACTGTTATGAATCGTACTGTATGTATCTGATATGCGGGATGGTCTCAGGCGACCCCTGTGAAAGGGTCGTTCGACCGCCAAAGGGGTCGCGACCCACAGGTTGAGAACCGCTGCCGGAAAGACGTGGAGTCGCGGAGATTAGGGCATTCTTGGAAGCAGGTGGCCAGTTGAGGCTTGAATGCAGACGGGACTCCACTTCCCATGCACATTCCACTGCCCGTCCCCCAAGGCCAGGTCTCAGAGGGAGCAGAGGAGGGTGTCCAGGCCGAGATTCTCAGAGAAGAGGCATCGAGAGGGCCCAGGTGCTGAGAAGGAACTGCCTTCTCCCAGTGAAAGGAGGTTTTCCCCGCAGGCTACCTAGTCCTCGCGGCCCTACTGGGCTCCTGCCCGCAACGCCCAGCCCCTCCCTCCACGCTGCTTCTGTAAGCATTCATTTGTTTATTCATTCAACCTGCAGTGAGTCCCCACACAGTGCCAAGCACTAGACACAAATAAAGCAGTAAGCAAGACAGGGCTGGCATTCTAGTGGGGGAAACAGACAATAAATGAAAACAAATAGGTAAACAAATACTTTCATTTCGCCCTGGCCAGTTTAAGCGTCAACCTGCAGACCTAAAAGTCGCCAATTGGATTCCCAGTCAAAGGCATAGACCTGGGTTTTGGGTTCCATCCCCAGTCAGGGCGGAGGCAACCAATTGATGTACCTCTCTCACATCAATGATTCTCTCTCCCCCACCCCCATCCTTCCCTCCCACTCTCTCTAAAAAAAAAAATCAATGGAAAAAATATCCTCAGGTGAGGATTAACAAAAATAAAACCTTTAAAGGACCTGCCCAGAGAATTTTCCGCCCAGAAAAAGCCCACCTAGAGTGCTTCAAAATCTCTGACTCCCCGTCCCTCGGTGCTGGCGCCATTTGGGAGCTCAGCCCATCTGGTTTTTCAGATGACCTAATAAATTCATAATTCTTAAAAAAACTTTAATTTCAAATAATGATTAAATGCTATAAAGAAAATAAAGGAATCCTAGCTGGTTTGGCTCAGTGGATAGAGTGTCAGCCTGCGGACTGAAGGGTCCTGGGTTCGATTCCGGTCAAGGTTATACGCCTGGGTTGCAGGCTCGATCCCCAGTGGGGGACAAGCAGGAGGCAGCCAATCAGTGCTTCTCTATCATCATTGATGTTTCTGTCTCTCTCCCTCTCCCTTCCTCTCTGAAATCAACCAAAATATGTTTTAAAAAAAAAGAGAGAAAAATAAAGGTGCAGGAGCAGAGTGACTGGAAGGGGATAGGCTCCCAGATTTGGGGTTACCAGGGAGGCCTCTTAGGCAGCAATTTCAACCAGTGTGTTGCGGCAGGCAAGAATTTTTAAATATATATTTTTTTATTTCAGAGAAGAAGGGAGGGAGAGCGATAGAAACATCGATGATGAAAAAAAAATCATTGACCTGCTGCCTCCTGCACGCCCCCTACTGGGGATGGAGCCTGAAACCGGGGCATTTGCCTTGATGGGGAATCGAACCCTGACCTCCTAGTTCATGGCTCAGTACTCAACCATTGAGCTATACCAGTCAGGCTGCAAGAATTTTTAAAACATGCAATAGCTGACTCTTTACTCGGGGGTACTGACCTCTTTTCCCTTAGATTGTCAAATTTTAAAAATGACAACGGCCAACACAACAATAGCTGTCCCGTGTGAATAAATCAAAAGTATACTTTTTATTTGTCAGATGGGCTGCAGAATTTTAGTAATTAGTTTATGTGCGCCATGAGATGAGAAAGGTTGAAAATCGCTGCTCTAAGGAGATGTTTGAGCAGAGGCCGCCGTGATGGGAAGGATCCAGCCATGCGTGGCTCTGGAGAAAGAGCATTCCAGGCAGCAGGAAAAATACCAAAGCCCCCAAGGCCCCCAGAGTGGCCGGAGCAGACAGGCAGGGTGAGAGTTCAGGAGAGAAGGGTGAGGAGGTAGAATCTGGGGGCAGTTCTAAGTGTAATGAGAGGTTAGTAGAGTGTGTTAAACAAGGGAGTGACATGACCCAATTTAATGGACTCCAGGGGTGCAGGAGCAGACACTGAGAGGCCGGTAAGGAAGCTGTGGCAATAATACCAGCAAGAGTTGATGGTGGCTTGGCCCAGGGTGGTGGCAGTGGGGAGTGAGAAGCAGCTGTGCAGGGCGGAGGGGTGCAGGGGGCCGACAAGCATCATGCTTGCTCAGAGTCACATACACCACTCCAGGAACGCTTCTACGTGTGTGCAGACCCATACACACGTGGAGTCACACCCATGGCAACGCGCAGACACTGGGTATACTTAGGCAGACCCACCCTTCCACACCCTCTGAGTCATTCCAGGACTCAGTGGAAAAAGTGTGATCAGGAGGCCTAAAGGAAACATGTTTCCACGCACCCAGCATGGCTGGGTAGCTCGGGCTTTCCCAGGGCCTGGCACAGGGAGCAGGGGGTTCTAGCTAGATAGTCCCTGGCTCTCCTATTCCCCAGAGCCAGACAGTACCCCTCTTCACACACACCCCAACATGAATTGGTCTCCCAGCTTTACCACCCACCGGCTGTGAGACCTTGGGGAGTTAGTTCCCCCCTCTCCCAGCCTCCGTTTCCTCTCTGTAGAATAAGATTCAGCCCCAACCTCACAGGATGGTAGCGAGGCATCATCAAGGTAAGGTGTACGAACCTGGTCTGGGGCAGGCATCCAGCAGAGAAGGAGAGAGAAGGTGATGGACAGCTCAGCCCTGGCACCCACAGTCCAGCCTTGAATCCAACTCTAGTTTTAAATGAGTGACTGGACCTCTGTAGATTTCATGAGTGGCCAGCATTTATTGAGCACTTACTATGTACTAAGTACTCTGCAACCCTTATCTTTGTAAGGGTAAATGAGGACCTAAGAGCATCTACCTTGTGGGGTTGTTATAAGGATTAAATGAAATCCTGCACATAGAGTGTTTAGCTCTGTGCTTGGCTCAGCGTAAATGCTCGATAAATAGGAATTGCTATTCCTCCTGGTACATTAGCTCTGTGACTCTGGGCAGGTTACTTACCCTCTCTGCCTATTGCCTGTAGCTTAGGCAACATCATATCCCTGATCTCATAAGGCAGCGGTTCTCAACCTATGGGTCGCGACCCCTTTCACAGGGGTCACCTAAGACCATCGGAAAACACATATATAATTACATATTGTTTTTGTGATTAATCACTATGCTTTAATTATGTTCAATTTGTAACAATGAAATTGGGGGTCACCACAACATGAGGAACTGTATTAAAGGGTCGCGGCTTTAGGAAGGTTGAGAACCACTGTCATAAGGTCTTCACCGTGATCAAATGAGTCCATCCACATAGAGCTCAGAACATAGTAAAAGCTCAGTAAACGTCACACATTCATTAACATATGGTCTTTCCTATAATTCCATCAGGTGTGCACGGCCCCCGGCACCCCTACCCGGCACCAGGCTCCCGGCGCCCCTACCAGGCACCATGGACTGGAAGACGCTCCAGTCCCTACTGAGCGGTGTGAACAAGTACTCCACAGCATTCGGGCGCATCTGGCTGTCCGTGGTGTTCGTCTTCCGGGTGCTGGTGTACGTGGTGGCTGCAGAGCGCGTGTGGGGGGACGAGCAGAAGGACTTTGACTGCAACACCAAGCAGCCAGGCTGCACCAATGTCTGCTATGACAACTACTTCCCCATCTCCAACATCCGTCTCTGGGCCCTGCAGCTCATCTTCGTCACCTGCCCCTCGCTGCTGGTCATCCTGCACGTGGCCTACCGGGAGGAGCGGGAGCGGCGGCACCGGCTGAAGCACGGGGACCAGTGCACCAAGCTGTATGACAACGCGGGCAAGAAGCACGGCGGCCTGTGGTGGACCTATCTGCTCAGCCTCATCTTCAAGCTCATCATCGAGTTCGTCTTCCTCTACGTGCTGCACACCCTCTGGTACGGCTTCAGCATGCCACGCCTTGTGCAGTGCTCCAACGTGGCGCCCTGCCCCAACACCGTGGACTGCTACATCGCCCGGCCCACGGAGAAGAAGGTCTTCACCTACTTCATGGTGGGCGCCTCCGCCGTCTGCATCGTGCTCACCATCAGCGAGATCTGCTACCTCATCTTCCACAGGGTCATAAAAGGCATACGCAACCAGAGGGGCCCTGGCAGCCGCAACCGCAAATCCTCGGCCAGCCGGGCCTCCACCTGCCGCTGCCACCATAAGCTGGTGGAGGGGGAGTTCGTCCTGGACGCCCACGGTGACAAGCCGCATGCTTCAGCACCCGCTCTGACCCCCATCTGACCACGGGCCGGGGGGGTGATGCCTGGTCTGCCAACGGGGACAGGTGGGGAGGTATCGCGCCGGTGGAGGGGTCCTGCAGGTGCTGGGTGCCCCCACTTGGAATTCACCGAGCTATCCAGTTTCATTCGGGGCAGATACTTTTTGAGTGCTGGGCACTGTGCTGAATACTTGGGTGTAGGTCACTCCACAGGCCCAGTGCCATCCCTTGGGGAAAACCAACACTGAAACGAGGAAATTAACTACTGCGCAAGGGGATGCTTAGGGCGCTCATAGCAGGGCTTCTACCCAGCCCAGGAGGGAGCGATCAGGCGAGACTTTCCTGAGGAGGTAAAGTTTAAGAGAAGTGAGAAGTGCTTCCAAGTGGAGAGAAGGGCAGGCGCAGAGGCCTGGAGGCTACAAGAAGAGGCATGCTTGCCCTGGGTTGGATGCACCAGACCAGAAAGAATGTTCCTTCCCTTTGGAGAAGCGCCTCGGTCCCTGCGGTGCAGAGGAAGGATTCCTCCAGCAGAGGGAGGTCTGGAGGCCTGAGAATTCTTGGGACGAGGAGGAGGGGGCTCTGGGGACACCAACCTCTCCTGGTGACACCCAGGGATCCTCTGAGTCCCACTGCTCTCAGGGCAGGTCCCCTCCACAGCCTCCACTCTCCCAGCCTCAGGAAGCTGCGCTCCCGTCTTCCTCCCTGCAGATGTACTCAGTCTGGTGCCAGCCTTTCAGACCCTGCTTCGTGGGGCTCGGGGTGGGTGTCCTAATAGGAACATCCCCACGGCAGCTTCCTTGAAATCAATAAAGGCTGGGTTTTATACAAGTTGGCTCCATCCTCTGTTCTTCTACACTCCCACCCACAAGACCCTGAGGTCAGGAAAGGTGGCCCTGGGAAGTTTAGGGTGTGGGCTGAAGTTAGGCTGGGGCTGGGATTGACAGGTGGGAGCTGGGGTGGAACCTACTGTGATTGGAGATGTGGCCACAAGAGGGCGCTATGCTCCCGCTACAGCCGTTCTAGTGATTTCATAGGGAGACTGTCCTGAGCGCACACAATCACTGCCTTCTCATTACAGACAAATCACAGTCCCTCCTCTGTAACCCAGGCACTGCCATCCACAACCGCATCCCCACCCTGTGTACACAAAATCCCTGTTAGTCATACTCTCACTCATATATGCTGCCGGCAGGCCTGCTGTCTCCTCTACAGGCATGCGGTCCCTGCCTCACCCAAGCGTTATTCAGCTCCTTTCATTTTCCTGAGCATTTTTTCCACACCAGGCCCCCGGCAGGATGCTGGGGCTGCAGAGGGGGTAGGAGCTGAGCTCAAGAAGCTCAGAGCCCGGGGGAGACAGAAACAAACTCTTCTGCATTAACAGCCCTCTGGGTGGCTCAGCCTCTCTCCCAGCATTGTGTGAGGACCTGAAACTTAGGCGACACCAACATCAAGGCCCGACCAGGATGGGAAGCAGAAGAGGTACAAAGGCTATACTACCTGGAGGAACATTTAGTGACTATTAAAGCTGAGGCCAGGAGCCAGAAATCCAGGAGGCAGCCAGAGCCAATGCAGGCGGGGAGAGGTCAGACCATCGTGCAGACACCACAGGCTGTGATTCACCTTTGCTCTCAAGTGTGGCCGTTGGTGAGATGGATAAGCCAGCCAAGTTTAAGGTCCCTGGGCAGGGCTGCTATCCACCCCCAGGTGTGAATCATGGCTTAACCACTTCCGGATCACAGCTTCACCGTGGCAAGCTTTCAGAATCTCTGTCTTGTCACCAATACAATGGGAACCGTATCAATCAGGGTCCTGGCAGGAAACAGATGACACAGTCAAACCAAATAATGTCAAAGAGTTTCCCGGAGGGGCTGTTTTAAAAGGTGTGGGCATGATTAAGGAAACCCACGAATCCTGGGGTAACTTCAGTATCCTGGGGCTAGTACCAGAGTAGCAATGGACGGGGTTACTACACAGGTGCTCCATCCAACCATAGCAACCAAATAAATTCCCCAACTTCACTCTCCCATCTCCTGCTCACCTGCTGGTGGCTCCCACTGACCCAACCCAACCACAGGCCAGAGATCCAGGAGGCCGTGAGCCTCCCAAGGCACAAGGCTGGGTGGAGAGGGGGGAAGAGTAGACCAGAGGGGCAAAGGGAACATATTCGTCCCAGCACTCAGGACATACCTAGGATTGTTGTAGAGGTAAAAGGAGGCACTGCGGGTAAGGCATTAGCACAGCGCTAACAACATAGCCAGTGACTATCCGAGTGCCACCATGCTCAGGAAAGTCTCTGCCTGCTCCCCAGGCCACATGGTACCTCAGCCCCAGCTTAGATGGGATGGTTGCAAAGGTCTTAGGGAGAAGGGATCTCTACCTATCTGCCACCATGCATTCCAGCATCTTCCAGGACATTCTGGCTGCCTGGCCAAGGATGGCTTAGAGATCAGAGCAATCAGGGCACATCATTGGCTATCCCAGAATGGACTGAGCTTCCAGCCCAACCCTGCTTCTCCAGGGTGCAGGCCAGGACCATGGATGAGGGACATTCCAGTCCTGGACATCCTGCCTTGGGCCTGGGAGCTATTTTGAGCATCACAGCTTACTGTTCTCATCCAGTATGTGCTGGGCTAATGTTCATCACCCAGAGTCCCGCAGTGCACATCACTGTCATCAGAAGATAGCCCTCATGTCCCCTTGGCTTTCTCTACTCAGGGTACACATCTCTATTTCCTCCTCCCTCAATTGCATGAGCTTCCTTCAGTTGTGCATCTGATAGATTTCAATTTCATATACACAGCCTCCGAGCCCACATCTACTGAAAGAAGTAACAGCCACCCGGCAGCCCTAGGTAAATAGATTATTTTGTATTCATCACCCTGGTCGAAGTCCCACTATGGACTGAACGTCTGCATTCCCCCAAAATTCCTATTTTGAAATCCTAACCCCCAATGTGATGGTATTAGGAGGTAGTGCCTCTGGGAGGTGACTAGGTCATAACGGTGGAGCTCTCACGATTGGGATTAGTGCCCTTATAAGAAGAGACTAGCCCTAGCTGGTTTGGGTCAGTGGATAGAGTGTTGGCCTGGGGATTGAAGGGTCCCAGGTTCAATTCCAGTCAAGGGCACATGCTTAGGTTGTGGGCTTAATCCCCAGTGGGGGGCATGCAGGAGGCAGCCCATCAATGATTCTCTCTCATCATTGATGTTTTTCTCTGTCTCTCCTTTTCCCTTCCTCTCTGAAATCAATAAAAATATATTTTAAAAAAAGAAGAGACAAGAGAAGGATGAGGATAGGTTGAGAAGACAGCCCTGTGTAAACCAGGAGGAGGGCAGTCTCCAAGAACCCAACTATGCAGGTTCCCTGGTCTCACTCCAGCCTCCGGAAATAGGTGGGCAACCTATTTCTCTAAGCCCCCCAGTCTGTACTATTCTGTTACAGCAGCCTAAGACCTCCTCATCAGCTCTCACCTGGATTACAGCCACAGTCTCCCTCCTGCAGGCCCCTGATCCTGGAAAGCAGACACTGGGGAAGAGTTAAGAGTGCAAAGGGTCAATGTAAAACTTTAGACAATAAAAAAATAAATAAAAATAAAAGAACTAAAAAATAATAATCCTGCATAACAAATAGGTAATATGCAAATTGACCATCACACTCTTGCACAAGATGGCCGCCCCATATCATCACAAGAAGGCCATGCCCATGTCATCACAAGATGGCCAGCAGGAGAGGGCAGTTGGGGGCAACTGGGCCAGCAAGGGAGCAGTTAGGCATTGATCAGGCTGGCAGGGGAATGGTTAGGGGCAATCAGGCAGGCAGGCAAGCAGTTGGGAGCCAGTAATCCTGGATTGTGAGAGGGATGTCTGAGGGGTACCAGATTGGAGAGGGTGCAGGCTGGGCTGAGGGACACCCTCACCCCTCCAGTGCACAAATTTTGCACACCGGGCTTCTAGTAATAATAATAAAGTATAAAAAAAAAAAGAGTGCAAATGGTGTTCTGGGGAGTAATACCCGTAAGTGAAAAGGGGAGGAAGTAGACTGAGCAACAAGACCTGTGGCAATGAGCTCTACATCTGGAGACAAAGATTGTCTATTAGAGGACCCCGCATTGGGTGGCAGGGTTTGGCTCACTCATCGCCGGGGGCCACCCCAAGCAGAGACTGGCCACCTGGACAGCTGAAGCAGACCTGAAAGTGTTAACCCTGGAGGCTGTCAGCTGACCAGATTCCGCAGTTAGGCAACGAGGCCTATATTAAAGGGGGGCCTCCACTGCCCATCACCCACCTCCATAGTGTATTCCCAGCACAGCAGCCAGGGGGAATCCTGCCAAAACCAAAGTCAAGTGATGTCACTCTTCTGCCCAAAACCTCCAAAGGCCCCTCATGAAACCAAACAACAAATGGGTCCAGGCTGCCTGTCACTCCTTGAGCCAATTAAGCAGAGACAGGGTTGAATCATATATGAGCATTTATTCCAAAAATGTGGACAGTATTGGAGAGCAGGAGGCCATCCATGAAAAATCTGCTGGAACACCTCCTACTATATAAGGGACTAGAAGCCCAGTGCACGAAATTCGTGTATGGATGGGGTCTCCAGGCCTGGTCAGTGATTAGGGCCGATCAGGTTCCCCGCCTCCCCACCTCCTCACCTCCTCCTTCCCTCACCACCCACGTCCACCGCCACCCACCCCCCCATTCCCTATCCTATCCCAGGGCCCAGCCCCGATCAGGTTATCAGGACCTGCTGGCTGGGGGCAGCTTGTGCATTGAGCATCTGCCCCCTGGAGGTCAGTGCGGTCATAGCGACCAGTCATTCCTGTCGTTTTGTCATAAAGATCGCTTAAGCCAGGGGTCCTCAAACTTTTTAAACAGGGGGCCAATTCACTGTCCCTCAGACTGTTGGAGAGCCAGACTATAGTTTTAAAAAAAACTATGAACAAATTCCTATGCACACTGCACATATCTTATTTTGAAGTAAAAAAAAAAAAACACGGGAACAAATACAATATTTGTACTTGCATGTGGCCCACGGGCTGTAGTTTGAGGACCCTGGCTTAAGCTTTTATATACTAGAGGCCCGGTGCACGAATTTTATTATATAGATAGACAAGGAAGAAAGGCTGCATGCAAGGGGGCAGTAGAGGGAAGATGACTGCAGGGTCTGTGGTCCCTGTGTCTCCTTCCAGAATCTTGAAGTCTGATAACAAGCAAGTTAACTTACAATGGTGTTAAAACCCAGCCTGCCAGCCAGGACCCAAGAATAGTCAGCATTCCGGAGGCAAACTCCCTGAGGGGGGTCAGAGTTTAGGCACAGCAACCAAATCAAAGTGTCTCCTGTCCTTTATTCTCAAAATGTATTTCCTTTTCTGAGCAATGGACTCTCCTAGCCCCAAGGTGTTGCTTATCTTTTCACAGCTGTGTTCTTCCTTCTTGCACCACATCCTCCAGTTTCCAAGGGTGTGTAAGATAACCTCTTATCGGTAGTCAGTAAAGTGAATAATCATTAAACCGCCCTGGTCCTGTTCTTATTGTGTGCCCTTCTCCCCATCACTCACACAGGGCTGCAGGAGCCTGCAAGCTCTGCCTCGGCTCACACTTTGGCTTTCCCTTTCTGAGCCCATCCCTCCTCTTGGCTCATCTCACTCCAGCCACACGGACGTCCCTGCACTTTCCCACGTAGGAGACACCAGGCAGGCTCCTGCCTCAGGGACTTTGCACTGTGCATTCCCTTAGCAGGAGTGCTGTTTTCCCCAGAGACACAGGGCTCCCTGCTGACGAACAACAAATGTCAGCTGCCAGCCCCTCAGTGAGAATGTCTCCTTCCTTCTGTTCAAAATTAAAACTGCCACCCCCGGCACCCTCAACATTCTCTTCCTACTGTCCTTTCCGCAGAGCATGTATTACCTTCTAACATGGTCTGCATTTCATTTTGTCTGTCTCCCCAGCTAGAACGTAAAATCCACTAGGACGGATTTTTATTCCCTGGTTGCTCTCCAATGTCTAGGACCTGGGGCCGTACAGGTTTGTTGAATTAATAAATTCACATATGGGCCTGGTGCCTGGCTACGTGCTGGAGATGTAAACAAGACTGTCCACCCTCCAGGAGCTCACAGTCTAACGGGGGAGGGGTAAAGACAAGTAAGTAATGCACAGAGGCTAGGGGAGGGGAAGTGGAGAGTGGTCCATGGGAACAGAGTTTCAATTTTGCAAAATGGAACAGTTCTGGAGATCCCTTGCATAACAGTGTGAACATACGTAACCCCACTAAATGGTACCCTTGAGAATGGTTAAGATGGTAAACACTCTTTTATGTATTTATTTCACACAAGTAAAATAAAATAAAAAGTTAATTCCCCCAGGAGCAGTACCTGAGCCCCTGAGAGCATAAAGGAACACCTAACCCAGTGGAGGACAGCCAGGGGCCTTCTGGGACAAGGCTGCAGCGAGCAAAGGCCTCAACACCTCCTAGGATTCAGCATGTAGGGTGCTCCAGGCACAGGGGACAGCATGGACACAGCAAGAGTGCACAGAGAACCAGTCCAGTCTGGCTGGATCACGAAATGACAGGGGAGAGGGAGGAGGCTGGAGAAGTGACTGAGGCCAGGAGGCAATGGGGAGTCACAAAACGGTTTAAGGAGGACAGTGGTCTGGTCAGGGAAGGGTAGAGGCTGGGAGACCATTTGGGAGGCCACTGAGAAGGCGGCCTCCACAGGATCAGGGCACTGGGAATGGAGAGAGGGGTGGGGCTCCAGGGATATTTTCCAGGTGGAATGGCCAGGTTATGGCAATCACGGTCTTGGCTGGCCCTCCTTTCCCTGGGAAGGGGCCAGGTCACTCAAACGCTGACCTCCAGAGCGCCTGAAGAAGCAGTGCGAGCAGGGTGAGGGCAGCCTTGACATTGCCTCCATTCCTCCCTCCTTCCCAGTAGGGCAGTGGTTCTCAACCTTGGCTGCACATTAGAATCACCTGGGCATCTTGTTAAAATCCTGATTTCTGGGCCTCATCCTCCGGAAATTCTGTTTCTTTGTTACTCATGTTGTGGTGCCTGGTGCCTACCCCATAACAAAGAAACAGAATTTCCGGAGGATGGGGCCCAGAAATCAGGATTTTAAAAAGATTCCCCGGTGATTCTAATGTGCAGCCAAGGTTGAAAACCACTGCAATAGATGGACCCAAAGGAAGAACATTGGGAGCGCCTGGGCCTTGCCGCAGGAGCCGAGCTCTGGGAGCAGAACCAGCCTCTAGGGATCTCTGTTCTCACGACCTCAGGGGTCAAAACCAAGTAGGCGCAGTTGTCAGCTTTGGGAACCCGGAAGACTCAGCTCAGACTGATCCTGACGTTCTGAGGTCAGAGCCAAGCCTGTTAGGTAGGACGTCAGTCATGAGCGGCTGGGTGGGGCCTGCCCTGGGGTCCTGACAGGGGTCAGACCAACATGGCCTTCAGACCACCCCTGGATGGGTGGCCCAGCACCCAGCAGACCGCCCGCAGACACGTCCGGAACCGGTAGGTCCAGAACCAGCCGGTTCTTGGTGCAAGCTCAGAGGAAAAGGACATGACCTCCTTGTGACCTTACTAGGGCCCTGGACGAATTATAATAAAATTTGCATTGTAGTTTTGACCACCCCCTCCCACCCGCACCCCTGGTGTGTTTGTCTGTATGCGTATGGGTAAGAGCATGCGCAGAAGAGATATAGTTACATCACCCTTTTCTGTCAACCATCCCTGAATACAAGTGAAAGTCTCCACCCAGAAAATGCCTCACGGAAACTATATAACCCAGGAGTTTGGGGCATTGTCTCTCGTGACTGGCCTGCTTCTCGCTCGAAGTGTATCTTCAATAAATCCCACTTCGCTGGAGAAGAACGGAGGTCCCAGCCGGTAACCCCAATTGGTAACATCTTTTTGGTGCCGCTACTCGGACTGCACGAACCGTAAGTCCTTGAGACTGGAGAAAGGTCTGCTTTACTTTTCCTTCTTTTCCAGGATTGGGAGGGTGAGGCAACACAGAAATTAGTACTTCCTCCTTACCTGTGCCCTGAGACTGAAGGGGACATCACGGGCCTACCTCTATAAATTGGCCCCCGATAACCTGTATCTAGAGATGCCCACTCTTTGCCAAAAAGAACAGAAGATCTAATACCGAAGCTCTCCACCTGGCTTGAGCACATTCTCTCCATCCAGCAGATGCAGGCTCCCTGGGAAACAGGAACCTTTTACTCCGCCCTCACTAGACCTCTAATTCCTGACTACAACCTTAAAACCCTTTTCTCCATATTTGGAACAAGCCGGTAGAAGGGATAGGAGATGTCTAGTTTGTAACTATCGGGCATATTTCGGAATCCTCCCAGGGTCCTTATTGCCTACTGTTCTACCCCGCCCTGGAGGCCTTCCACATCTATTTAGGCATTGACTTCGTATGAAACCCCAAAGGGTCTGGGCGGATGACATTCATGGGCCAACTCTAAAATGGGAAATCTGTCTGTCCTCTTCCAGCCGGACCTATTGGTAAATCTCTTTGTCTATCACCTGCAAAAGCTCTCAGGGTTTAACGGGTCAAGTCTCTACAGCACTTGGCGGGAAGTACTGTGG